TTCGCCTTGGGGCTGAAGCCTCGCTCCTCATTATTGAGTGCCACCGTAGCAGGACCATATGCCTGGCCCCGAAGTTCCTCGCCCGTGCCATTCACCTCTCGCTGTTTGACTTGCTCAATGAGCTCTTGGATAATATCGCTCACAGTGCGGTATCCCTCTTCCGTGCTCACTAGCCCATAGGCCCGCATAAGGTCCTCGATCGTATTGTAACCCGCGCGTTTGAGCGCGTCGGTAACCGCAGTGTTCTCGTTCGGTTGAGGTTCGACACGATCATCTGGACTGCGACTTGAGGAAGACGGATTAAGGTAGCCGTTTGCTGGGAGGTCGGCCTTGTTCGCCAATGTTTGATGCGCGGCGAGTGGTGAAAAGAGAATAACGTCGCCTGAGCCATAATCATGGTTTCGAGGAGGAGTGGAGTATTGAGGGTAGGGGAGGGAGTAGTCGCCTGGGTGTTGGTACGCCATGGTGTTTGCTGAGTTACCGCGTTTCAGGCGTTGGCGAGAGGTAAGAAAGAGAGCTCGCCAGACGAGGGGCCAGGCAGCCGTTATATACTGCCGAAAATCTTTCAGGTCAAAGTTAACGCGTGGAAAAAGGAGAGGTGAAACATCAAACGAGTTGTGGGAGAAGCTGCCCAATCGACGCAAACAGTGAGAGACATGAGACGGAATTAGTGTGCGAAATCGACAAAAGCAGAAATGAAAGACGAAACAAAACATCTCTAGATGCATGACATCTACATCACACCATGCATACTCTTACAGTCATACCATGGTCACTGTTCTTCAGCCGCAATACCAGTTGCCTGTAACATTCCCCCTGAGCCCGCGGCCAACTCCACTACACTGCTCCGACCTCTGCCTGTACACACAGTTTCCTAGTCGTCCCTGACTTGAGCCGTTGTCCCATGTCACCCATGTGTCACCTCCACATCCAGTCCACCGATACTCAACGCCGTCACTTAGTCTGAAAGGATAATCGCAAGGAATACCAGAGCCCGTGGCAACGATGCTTGTGCCAGAACATGCGGGCGATGAACTGCTACTTGAGGCAGTATCGAGCCAGGCATACTCGTAGCTAATTCCAGAGAGCGTTGCGCGACCAATGTAGACCGGTGTAGAAGGTGTTGGCTTGGCTGATGCTGTGGCAATTGACGATACGGTGGTTGAAGTAAATGTGGGTGCCGTTGTTGAGACAGTACTATGGGAATCGTCACTATGCGCTGATTCAGAATCGAATGTTGTTGAGCTTACCTGAGTTGAGCTTGTTGTTGCTCGGATGCCGATTTGCGTTTGCTACTGTTCTGAGCTAGGATTCCTCCAACAGCACTGAGGGTTGCCACTACGAGAATGGCCGTGAAGACACATAGAATTACTAGTGGCCTCTTCCACCAAGGCAATTGTAGTGATATGGCGCTATGAATGAGGGCTTCTCTGTCGGCATACGATTGATTCCAAGGTATCGGATCGCTCTGAGGTGGGTCGTAATGCTCAGGCAGTGTCGATGGAGTTCCCAGTCTGTACTCGTAAACTTCTGCCGTATTTAAATACTGTCGTCTCGAGCTGACTTCAGGAAGAATGGGCGAAGTGATCACAGCCTCCGGTAGCGTTGGCGATAACGCAACATTCCGTCGCAAGGTCATGGTTGTCTCTTATCATCTACGAAAATCGACGGATTTACGATCTTATAGAGATCGTCAGTGGGGTTCCAGAGTGCTAATGTACCTGAATAGAAATAACCTTACCTTATCGTTCGCCTCAACCGGCCGATCGGCACAGCGAACGTTGGATCCAGAAAAGGCATTATCGTCCGAAACCACTAGCACTTCACATTGACCAGCTGGAAATCACAAACTTCCTGACTGTTATGATGGAGTAGGCAAGTGGTGACCAATGGGTTGTCTTCTCTTCTTTACCAAATTTGTCTGACATGGGGCTGAGAGTAATGACAAAGCCCACCATGACACATTTGGGGGCCGAATGTTCTTTATCGAATAACGTTCTGACGGGAGCTGAGTGTCGAGTAAAGTCAATCCTAAAACTTGATTGGCTATCGTACTTAGTGTCCCGAAGAGGCTTCGCTCGAATCTAATCAAGAGTTGCTGAGTGTTCATATTGGGAGCCTCTTAGCATTCCTTCCCGAGAGATCGGACCGCAGCATTTGATATACTGCGGATGAGACTGTCAGTATTCATGGACTTTCTCACTATGCCGAGATATGATAAGTCTGTTCACTCGGTCACTCGGTGACTTGTTGAACCGTGATTGTAGAATCGCCGCCCCTGGCAGCTGATACTTCGTAGCTGTATTCATGGGACTACCGAAGGGTAAGCAAACTCCCGATGTGGTCTTTTCGAGATGAGTGGCTGAGGTTGCAAGAGTCGAAGGTTACGAACTCATTGCTCTGTTCGCGCATCGGCGATGCTGCGACGCATCTTTCATAGCTCTCGGGAGATGTTATTCTGGGGTACGGGTCACCTCCATCTGGTGTAAAACTATTGGATTGAGGCCGTTGTACAGGAGAGGCAGCATGAAGCCCGAACGGCTGTGACAACGATTCTTGCCAGTAGTCCGGTGTTGGTGACGATGTGGCCGAAAGCCCGTCAAGCTCATGAAATGATGTGGCCAGCACAGTGGATGCGAAGTTCTGAGATGCTCCCAGCTTTGTATCAAGTAACCAGGGGTGGCTCTGCTCATCTACAACGACGGGAACGTCGGGGAAACGTGTCTGATCAAGCCACTGGTCATCGATAGAGAATTGGCAATTGGGACAATAACCGCTAGCATCAAGGATCGCCCAGTGGGTACCGCAAGCTGAGCATCTAGGCAATTCGGAGTCTGACATGAAGTCGTTATCTAGGTCGAGGAGGTCAATGTCCATGCTACTCATAGATTCGTCTTCGGATGAAGGCACAAGCGCGTCCCCGGGGGGTTCGATTCGGTAGTGCATTTCAAGACCATGAGACGAAGTCCACGTAAACGCCGCGGGCTTGTTCCAATCATTCTTCCACTTCTTGACAAGGACGCTTTCGTCGCTAGAGGACTCGAGTAGTGATGCGACTTTGCCGATATAGATGAGATAGTGACATAGAAGTCTGAGCAGCGATTCTGGCTTTGTTTCGGGGGCATTCTCATGAGAAGTAAGGTTATCCACGACCTGCGTGTGTTAGACATATGACCGTTCGTAACTCGTATAGGACTCACCGTGTACTTCATGCCTACTGTGGTTCCTAGCAACAGCAGAAAAAGCGCCTTGAGCCTCCCAAGCTTGTCGCCAGGTGCTTCTAGCTCCGATGGTCGTAACAACGAATCGAGGCTCAAGAGCAGTCGTCTCCCCACCCAATTCCGAACAGACAGGATCTCCAGATCAGTATATTTTTGATAGCCTCCACGCACACCGGTAGTGAAGAGGTGTGTAGTCAGGTGCACGAACAGCGGCAAGTCTCTACCAAGACTAGGATCAAGGGCGTTCTGGAGGAGGTTCGTATTCGTGCTGCACGAATAAATGCCAACGACGCTGAAAGTTGATGGGCCACCATCGTCAGACAACCAGCTGGCGAGGTGGGTAGAGGCTGCTTCGACATTCAAGGCGAATGGAATATGGAAGTCGAGGTAGACATCGTCGCCGAGCAGATCTGCCATGACTGCATCCACACGACCCTGGTCGATAATCGTCCCTAAAGCTTGTCAACGCATCGTCACGAGTGGAATTTCTTCTTCACTCACGGACACCAAAGATATTCACAGCTTGGAAAGTAGGTCGGACGCAGTCCATCCACATCAACTTGCGAGAGCCGTACGCTGCTTTTGCAACTGCCACGCAGAGCTTGCATGGGTCTTCTCCAGAGCACTGTGCATCGTTAGTAACGATTCAGGATGAATTGATAGCGTCAGTAGACCGTACTGCTCTCTTCAACAATTTGCATCTCAGGCAAGCACCTTTTTGCCGGACAGAGGAGATCTCCCTTTTCCTTGCAGCAGAAAATGCAGAGCGATGATAGAGACTCGCATTGTCGCCAGCAAGTGAGAAACAGGAGAAGGTGCCACCGGGTTTGATCTCCTCACGGCGACGCTTGCTCCGACGTTTTGCAACGCGCTGCTTGTTGTCCTGCTTCCCCATTCGAATGACGCGCTGTAGGTAAGATGACAGAGGTATCAGGCGCTTTCTCGCAAGTGTGCAATGCTGGGTTGATTGGCCAAGAAGCTCAAGTACTGTGGTTTCCGCCTACTTAAGTTCGGCTCAAGATGTTCGTACAACCTCGACATACAGATGAGCCAACAAGTAGACAGTCCAAGTCCGATGTGAAGGGAGACTGCAAAGAGGGCCATAATGTATATCCAGCAGGGGCGCAGTACCTGATTCGAGGTTGCCTGAGGTGTGATGGGGGGTGATTGGAGGCTGATGCCCCGCGGATCCCATCTTCTACCGCAACCCAAATGCGGTTACCGCCAAAAATTGCAAGCCATACAAAAGCACCAACAAGTTGACTGAATTGCTTGAAGTGGGATCAGATAAACATCTCGAAAGCTGTAGTCTAAGGGTAGTCTTTATGATTATTCGGTACGTCGGTGGCTTGAGCTGCTTCCGTCCAGCATTCATTAAATGTCTTACTTATCAATACTCTTTCAACAACTTATGAGGAGTTCTGTGCTATATCCTCCCGAATCAAATACAGGAATATAAAAATGGGAATGCAGCAGGAACTTTGAGCTCCGAGCTCTACTATCTGAAGTATGTACTCGGAAACGCGTCTCGTTCCCTGCCTAAGAACGGGGAACTGCGACTGCTTCTTCACGTAGTTAATATTTAGCAAACGACCTTCCAAAAGTAACTCGCTCATACCCACCATAAAATAGACATACAATATCATCAAGAACAATACCCATCCCCCAAAGCTGCTTCGCTCCTTCCCGTTGCTTCCCGTTACGTCCCTTCCTCATCATCTTCGCCACCACGACCACAGCCAATACCATAACGCCATTCATCTAATGAGCAACAAGAATGGGACACGCCAGGAATCGAACACTGGGTCTTCGACATCCCCAACGGCGCGACTCTAAAAGTCGCTATGTTGACAGCACTCTAAAAGTGCCTAAAGGAATGTCGAGGCTCTGCCACTGAGCTACATGTCCGGAATATTGTAGATGGGTATACTCGAAGATAAGGACTTTATGTGAAAGAGATGCTGAACGGCGCGCCATCTTGCTGTGAATAGGTGGCGCGGCAAGTTGTGGTCGGAGACGATAATATGGCAACAGCTACAACGCTCCTTCCTTGTTGACAAGAGCATTCGCGTCAACTCATACCAATCGCGAAATTGAACGGGGAGTCTGATGCAAGTTGACGAGTAGAAAAGGCAGAATGTAGAGGTCACATAAATTAGTAGAGAGTAGTTGAAAGTATGAAATGTACCACTGCATAACCTCATACCGTCGCCTATGCCGTCATAACTCATCCCATAACACGATGACCTCCTCATTCAAAGTATGAACTCATAAGCTATCTCACCAAAATGGATTGGACACAGCATTATCCTCCATTCCCACCAAAAAGCATGAAGTACATATACGAGCCAGCGATTAGCTGTGCCCAATATCAGAAAATCAAGACGTCAAGTCGGTCTAAGAATTTTGGCCTAAGCCTTATCGTCCTTAGACTTGGTTCCAACGCCGTCGGTACGGTTGCCGCTACTCCTCTCGCTCGTGTTCTCTTCGGTACGCTTTCTCAGCATAGCACTAATATCTGCCGAGGACTTGCTGCCGCCATTCTTCTCGGTGATGAGGCCCTTCAGCCATGTGTTTTCCGTCTCGAGCTGCTGGATGCGAGTCTCCAAAACGTTGACGCGATCTGTCATCTCCTTGGCAGTCTTCTCGAGTGCCTGCTCTCGCTGCTTCTTCTTGATGCGGAAGCGGGCGCTGGCAGCAGTGTTACGACGACGCTTGTCCTCCTCCGCTGCGTTGCGGGCGGCCTCGTCTAACTCTTGTTGGCTGTTGGTCTCGACATCTAGCTTGCGCTTCTTACCGGACTGGTCGAAACCCGGCGTGATGGGAGACAGAGATGTGGAGACGGGTGAGGTCTGCGCGTTGTGCGGGTACTGAACTGGGTAGGCGCCAGTTTGCGACTGCAGGTGTTGCATCGGCTGATTTACGATCGGGTCCTGGAAGTTGAACTCGGCAAACTGAAAGTCGCCTATAAAAGGGTCGAAGTTAGACATGACCGCGAAATGTGATGGAATGGAGATGGAGAGACAAGACAGTGCGAGGCGGAGATGTTGGCTCTGCCCGCGGTGTTTGGTGAAAAGCACAGGCAATGGCGTGCTCAGGGAGAAGGATGCCTTGCTGCACGTCGGCGGCAGGGCTCACGGCCAGCGTGATGGGCCCCGGAACGCAAATCAGAGAGCATATCGCGACCCGCTGTGAGTGGTCGCAGAGGGCCAGTGTGCGTGGGGAACGATGGTGCAATGCAGCGATGCAGGCTATTTAGCGGGGTCCGCATGGACGCCAGCCAAGCGCCTATTGGGCGGCGACGACGAGGAAGATGCTCGGAACAATGAGGCGCGAGACAAAAGCAAAGAAAGTCTGGGGAGACGAGACACAAGAGAGTTGCAGGCGAGTCACTTACCATCTAGCGTGAAGTTGTCCATCTTGGGCTGAGCCGCGCCTATGCTCACGCTATTGCTACGAGTGTGCGAGACCGACGGCTGCTCGACGTCGACGTTGTCCAGGTCAAGGGGTGTGTCGTTGGGGTTGAAGGTCGACGAGCCCCCATTCCAGTCGATGAATTCTCCTTCTGTGAAGGCAGAGAACTCGTTTGGATCGAATTCGAGCGGGTCTGGAAGAGTCTCGTTTTGGGGAGGGACCGTGTTGAGGTTGGCGACGTATTGGGACACGTTCGGTCCACGCCGTCCGTTGTATCCTGTCATTGAGGTTCGAGTGGGACAGCCAGCAGCGTGGATCTTTGAGCTACTCGTTCGAAAGTGATATTGTCTGTATCCGGTGCTATGGTGTTTTGTTCGAGGTTCGATCGGTTGCGTCAGGATGAGTAATTCCGCGGGGAGTCACTCATATAAGAACCTTGGTCGCGCCCGGTGGCCAGATTGCAGCCGCGTCGAGGGATTCTGGGTGCACCAGAGGTGTGTTCGCAGACTGTCAGATCGCTCTGAAGGTGAGTCTGAGAGTCGCAGTGCGGGAGAGGTGGTGAATTCGTGGTGTGAAGACTCAAACAAAGCCCCGCCCACCGGCTTACCCTATTTTACTTGATGCAATGACCCGTTGAATCGGCCACAATTCGGGTAGCGGTTCGGAGGATCCCTGACACGTTCTTCAGCCCACGCGGGGGCGTCAATCGTCACACACAGATGTTGTTTGCGAGGCGTTCCAGATGACCCAAGTGCTGGTGTCGCGCTTCGCGCGCAGCACAGTTGTTCTGCTTTGTGTTCTGGCTTTCTTGCAGATATTGCTCCCCGCCTTTGGCTGCTGTTGCGACTGTGTGGCGGTTATTAATCACGCTCGGCAATGAGATGGTCAAAGAGCGTAGTCAACGAAAGGGCGCTCCGAGTTTGCACCGTAGATTGTGGCCTAGACCTAGTGTAGGAGTGCGATCCGATGGTCGGCCGCGCCAAGGAGACTGAGATGAGATGAACCACTGATGCACGTGAATACTGCTGCTTCGTCAGCTGCTCGACTGCCGACGGTACACGAGGCCGGCAACCGAGCATAGAGTGGCCTGAATGCCTGACTGTACCTAGCTTGTGGCACAGGGGTTGCTGACCTCTTCTGTCACGTGCAGCTGCGCTTATCGATTGGGAACAGGGAAAGCGCGACGCGGCTGATAAACAACACCTCCACATCCAAGCTAGCCCAGCAACCCTCTATGTCGATTACTAGGCAACCTCTATGTAGGCAACCATGGCGCCGCACGCATCCATCACTGCGCCTGACTACAGGAACATACCGCACTCGCACCGCCTCCCCTCCTCGAATCGCGAAGTACAACGGCTCTTCGGCAAGCTCTCACGGAGCTCGCTGCTATCCCTAGCACAACAATGGCTCACTAAGAAGAATCGCGACTTCTGCCGCCCATACCTCTTCAGCGACCAGGCGAACGATGCGGGGGAAGAAACCGCGGCGTACGAGGCTGCGCATAGCTGCGAAGAGCTGATTGAGATATACAAAGACATGGAAAGCCGCAGAGGTGGACGCGCAGAGGTCCGAGATCGCATACTGGAGGGTGACTGGCGGCACGGCATATCGATGTATCAGTTGGCGACAGCAGAGATCCAGCAGTTACTCGACCACCCCAATGCCCTGAGATGGACCGCGAAACGGCTGGCCAAGATACCGAACACTAAGGGTGCTTCGCGGGACATGGAGGTTACGAGCGAATCGGAGCATCTACCACGGTTCCATGCGCAGACTGTGATGGCCAATCTGGCGAAGGAGCTCACACCACTAATGAAGGCGCATTACCTGTTGACGCGACTGAAGACGATGCCGTTAACGATACTGAGGGTGTATGTTCACGATTCGCCATACAGCTCTGAAGCTTCACTTGCCTCCTCGAACCAATCAACAGACGCCGCAAAGGCCGTTTATTTCATCTGGCCGAACGGCTCGCCTTTCGTGTGGATCTCGCTTGCTACGCACTTGGGGCAGATTGTCGGAGAGGAAGCGCGGACGCTGAGAGATACTGTTGTATCAGCGATACCAAAAGCTTTCTCGCGGTCGAATTCGCGATACCAGCTCGTCTCGACTACATTCACCACAAGGAAGCTTGGAGCGATGCTTGTGATGCGAGGTTCAGGGAAGACGAACGCTGCTGGTGGAGGCTGGAGTATCTTTGCAGACAACAGCTTCAGTCAGAATACACTAGACTTCATCACAACAGCAAAGGCCGATGCGCTCGAGAAAGGAAAGGCTGCTGCGGACAACGAGGACACAATGAGTGGCTCGAAACAAGGTCCTGGTCAGCTAAAGAGGGCATTGGAAGGCCCAGAAGCGTCCCAGGCAGATCACAGAAAAAGGGTAGCTGCAGGACGCTTCGGTAGCTCCGCCAAACCGAACGACGGACGCGGTCTCGAGCGCTTCGAAGTGCGAATAGACGATCCGTTTCCAACCAATGTGCAGCAAGGCGGAGAGGCAATGGACGAAGACAATGCGCGACCATCCTCGAGGCGTGGGCGCAAAGGCAGACCCTCTCTACTCGACAGGTCAGAGCAGGAAAGGGAAGAGCTCGACAACGCAGACAACTGGTGTCCTGATGTCAGAATAACGTTCAGCGGCTCACACGTTTTCGCAGGCATTAGGCAACTTGTTGAAGAAGGCGTTGTAGATGGCGAGAAGATGCCAGGCTGGATGACGGGAGAAGCTGGTGTGACTACAGGTGCTGTTAAGAATGGCAGGATACGAACTAAAGGAAGTGTTCCCGGTGTTTGAATGTTGCGAACGGGGCGTTTATCACGGTATACCCATTGGTATTGGTACGAAGCATGGCGTTGTATGAGTATTGTTACGATTTTGGAGTCATGGGGTTGTCTCCTGCATTGACTGAGGCGATGGCAACGCCCGGCTTTGTCCTTCTATTGACGAACTTTGCATGAATTATGCGGCAGACATGCCACGATCATGGAGTACTACTACTCTTCTGTCCGTCTTCGACTACTTCTCCGTGTACCCTCGGTGACAGGCTTCACCTCTGCTACTTTCCGTTTGACACCTGTATGCGCGCTCTTTTTGACATCATCTCTCTTCACTACTTTTTGAATAGGTTTCCTGGATTCCTTCTCCTCCTCCTCCGCGGCCTCCTCTACCGCCTCATCCTCGTCCCTAACGTCCTTGACATCGACGCCCTCCTTCCCCAATACATACGCCACCCTCTCCGCATCAACAGCCGAAACTCTCAACCTCTTCCTCAGCCCTTGCACCCTTGCGATCAACGCACCATACTCTTTGATGTTATATTTAATCGCCCTCTTCCAACCATCAGGCTTCCCGTCTTCATCCCACATGCACCACCGGAATAGCTCATCGGAGAAGAAGGGTACTTCCCCTGGTGCGTACACTGAGAGAAGTAGACTTGCAGTTGCGGGACCTATGCCCTTTAACTGGGTTAGGACCTTTAAAGCGGGTAGAGG